ATTCATGATTAGGGCTGCCACGATTAATCGACGACTAATCGATTATTAAAATAATCGATGACTAATTTAATAATCGATTAATCTTTTCTTTTTTTTGTTGTTCTTTACTTTGTTTTTCTCTCCAAACTGCTTTGACGCCTTCCACTGCCACATCTGCCTTTCTGTCCTTGACACACATGCACAGTGGTGGTAACTGGGGTAGGCCGTGGACGTCACAAGACATTATACWGACAGGCTCTGGTATCATGGCTACCTGACAGAGCTCAAAAGTGTGGGATCATTTTAAGAAAATGAAAGAGAAACCTGTACAATATCTGCGGAGCAGAACTTGCCTTCCACAGCAGTTATTTTTAGTTAGCATATAGCTAAACTTTAATGATGGTTATATAATAGCAGCTGCATTCTGACGTGATAAGCTGTACGTTTTATATTCAATTAACATATGAACTGATTAGTCGATTAATCGAATAAATAATCGGTGATTAATCAATTATTAAAACAATTGTTTGTGGCAGCCCTATTCATGATTTAGTATGGGAAAAATGAGGATCTCAAGCTTTACTGCAGCTCTTCAAACACTCACACGTTAATATTATTCAAAATCATGTAAAACCACCAACATTACCAAAACAAAACAGTAACAAAGACAAACTATTCTTACTTTGACAAAACTACATATTTGCTATGATATTGTTAAGAAAACAAACAACAAAACACTAAGAAGAGCAAATAGTTAAATTTAAAAACAAAAGCAGGCTCACCTGGCTCCTTCAATATCTCCTGTTTGGCAGTAAGCTGCTATTAATCTCTGGTATGTTACCTGCATAGAAACATTACAAAAATCAGTCAAAGCTTAACTTTATGCAAAAAATAAATTCTGAAATAATAGAATGCTTTTATATGAAGTAAATTTCGAATAATTTGAAGAACAGTAAAGAAAAGAATGCATTGCCTACTTATCTACAAAAAAGCTGAGCACAAAGACAAAAACATTCTGGTAATCATGTTTTATTCTTGGAGTTTTAGTCCTCAGTGGGATTAACGAACATAAATGTCCTTCATGTTTGCCACTGCTGCACCCTGCACCGTAATACTCACTCTGTTGGGTTGGATGTTCGCTTCTTCCATTTTGGCCAGAAAGTCAGTGGGGGAAAACCTGAAGTCATTCTGCAGGTAAACCTTCAGCAAGGCGTTGTAGTGACTGACATCAAACCGTGCACCTGGGGAAAACAATTTTCAGTCAGTGTAATGTTAAAAAAAAAATTCTACATAACTAAATGGTTAAAATAGTGTACAAATTCCTGAGGCTGATGTGTGCTGCTTCAGATCTCATCCCCAAATAATCTAGTGAGTATAACTTTCCAACAACTCCTCAAACACAACTAAAACAAAGAATGTATAACTTCTGGGTTATAATCTACTGTTTGAAGCACTGCATTAGCAGACAAGCAAGATTCTGAATTCATTTTCGAATGTAAAACATGTTATAAACATAAGCTTAAAAACTGTCTTGTGGTATCTATTTACAAAACTAACAATTGCAAATAATCAAAACGCACTGAAATTTGATTTATAAGCACATTGCAGCCCTCTAAGTTGCCGAAAGATTTCCACCACTAGATTTTACAAGTAGTATTGAATCTTTAAAGAGTAACTTACCCCATAAACTGATAAACTGTCTAGAATGTGTCTAAAATGTTATATAGTACTGTTTCTGTGATAATTTTGATGTTTTTGTGCGTATTTGTTCAAATCTGTAATATTTGGTCTAAAAACATCTTTTTGCTGCTCATATGGGTAGGGCAGTGGTACTGCAGGCTAATTTGCGTATTGGTTAACAGCTCTCCGCTGTGACGTGCTTCCCCACGGTTTCGTCACAGCAGCTGTGTTCTGGTATAAAAGCCTCTCTCTAAGACACGCCCCTGCAGCAGTCAGAGGGTGGAACAGTTAGCAAGCTTAGCATGATCGTCTGTTGACCTTCAGCCTCAGGTGGGGAGGGCTGACTGCTGTGCTTCTCTCTCTCTCTGTATCTGTCTCTCTCCACACACACACACACAAACACACACACACACACACAGAGAGAGAGAGACCAGCAGTACATCCTGCACAGCGGGAGTGGAGGAGGGGAAAGAAAGGCAGCGGGCAGCTTCAGCCTGAACCCACACGTCAACTTGTACAGATTATCTGTAAATTATAAAGGATTTTACATCATTTTGCAGGTATACGGACGTATAGAGCAATCTCACGGATTTTTTCAAGTCTTAAGGATATTTTAAAAACCTCATTTTCAAATTTATCTAACATGTCAGAGCCTATAGGATGATTTAAAAAACAATAAATAACATCAAACAGCCATCTTCCAACTTGTCCTGCCGCTAGAAATGTTACTTTTTCCTCTCTCCTTTCCTCCTGCTTCGCAGCAGGCGCTTTCATGTCCGCAGCAGTTTAATAATCGATTAATCTGTCGATTATTTTTTCGATTCGGCCAAATCATTAAAACACTTAACATGAATATGAGTAGATACAAATTAATTTCATTCCTGTATAAATAAGGGATATTGATTAATTAATTAATCTGAAGTTGATTTATCTTATAGATTGACTAACAATTAATTGATAAGCAGCCATTTTCTTAAAAAACTGGAGTTCTCTCTTGAATCAAGATGGTCTTTCCATAAAATGATGGATTTTTTATAATGTCCTGAATTAAAAAACAGAAGCACATCATAACTATTTTAACAATTTATTTTGTCAGTTGTATTAAATACCGAATGAAAAAAAGTGCATTTCTCATACATGAAACATAAAAGAAATTTAATAGGTTGCTGAATGAGGAAAATAGAATATTTTTTTACATGTAAAACTATTATTAATTTATTATAATTAGAATTTAATTACATTTAACATTAATTTTTCTCTAATTCTTTGCCTTTTGCTTCATTCCAGTTGGTTCTGCCCCCCCGATCTACTTGGCCTAACAACACAATTTAAAAACTGGTTTAAAGTTCGAAGTCTCTACTTTTCACTCGAGAGTCAGAGAGGGCGGATCTTTACAGGTAGAGTTGTTTTTTCTTCCTAAACTTTATTTAGGTCAGCCAGCATTGACAACGCTCTGCGGGTGACGTAAACGGTTCCGCGACACGGCGAGGGATGCATAAATTGCGCGACACAACAAATCGATAATGAAATTTGTTGCCAACGCTTTTAATAATCGATTTTATTGATTCGTTGTTGCAGCCCTAAGTGCTAGGTTACTGCCCATTACCCAGCTCCTGCAGCTTATCCCACACTCTGTGTGCCAGCTTATTTCGTTCCTCCACCGGCACCTCAGGCAGCAGAGACCCACAACTGCGCAGCAGCAACAAGATCTGATTTCCGCTGGGATGACCTGCATGTAGACAGGGACACAGTGCAGAGAATTATTAACAGAGTGAGGAAAAAAAAAGAACAGGCCAAAAGCACAACTTTTTATTAAGATTTCAAAATATTCAGTACGCTGTGCAGATTTCCAGCTTAGAGTTTAAGAAACTCCAGCTCTTCGCCTCCTGCCTACCTGTCCTGCAAATATCATTGAATATGCGGAGCAGCAAATCCTTGGTGATGCGACCCGTCCTCTTCACAGAACTGTCCATTTTATTCAGGGCCCAGTCAAAATGCTGCGCCTGACTGGACCACACACCAGTTTCGTCCCTGTTTTCCAAGGCCGCAGCATGCTGCCCCACATTTCTGGGAAGGACAACAGAGGAAAGACAATGCCAAAGTTTGCAACTTTCACCACCAAAGTTCTACGGAATAACTTGTAATAAATGCACATGTTTTGTTGCCAACAACTGGAAGCTGTTTATTTCCATTCTAACACCTAACTGAGTACACTTAGCTGTGTCTTGGTGTTTAACAGATATTTAGTTAACAAAAAATGAATAGTCAGAAGAAGGCAATGGAATAAGAAAAAACAGGTCAAAAAAACAGGTCAAAATCCAAATATGTTAATTTTTTCACTCTTCTTCTGAGAAGAGACAACAAATAGTGTATTTTGACAGCTATTCTCCGTGAAACATGACATTATTCTATTAGTAGCACCTAAAGTCAATTCGATTACATAAAACTATGGCTTTTTTGTGCAGCACATTCACAGCTATGTTTTCCTAAAAAATCCTCCAACCATCCTTTTCTAGCCTCATGTTTTCCAACAATATTAAGAACTTTGGAAAATACAATTGGAGGTAATTTTATGCACAAACCTACTAGACTAATTTAAGTTAACCTGAATTACTTAAGCATTTCAGAGGAACTGGTTTGTCTCTGGCCACATTATGCCTTCAATGTGAGGCAACATATTTAGAAAAGGAAACAATGTGTGCACAACTTTAGCCTGGCCCTTGCCTTCCTACGCAGCTCCGCTCAATTCTAGTTTCCCCTTCACAGCCGGGCCAATCAGAGAAGAGAACGTCAATTTTCTGCGCAGTGTCTCTTGTAGTTTATTTTACCTGGGCCAATCAGCAAACAGAAGGTGGAGTTTTTGAATGACGTCAATGTTCTGCGCAGAGTCTGCTAGTTATTTAGCATACGCCAGTGGAGGAGGTGAATGAAGCCAGTCCGTGTTGATATGGCTTCCAAATTAAATTAAATTTGTCTGACAAAGCAGCAGCTCTCATTTACAGCCGTCTCGTTCGGCTCGGTACTTTTCTCCTCTCAGTAGGGTTGTTTACAGCACACGCGATTTGCGGTTAGCTTCTTAGCTTAGCCTCCTTCACACCGACAACACACATATGTGCATTTTAGGCTTCAGCAGAGGCCACCCAAGAAATCATTCTCTGTGCATCAAGTCTAGACCCTTGTACGAAGCAAAGTGAGGGACAGGGTCTTGTTTAAACCAGGCTAGCCTAGCACAACCTCCTTGGAGGATGTAATTTTACAATGACCTGTGTGTGACCTTGGAGGATGATAGTCCAATTGAAGTAGCCTAAAGCAGCCTGCTATACATTACTAGCATTTATGAAGGCCAACATATATTTTGGATGATATCAAACTAATGAATGCGTTTATTTTTAAATAACCTTCAACAAATTGGCTAAACTTAAGCATTACAAAGTTAACTAGTTAGCTTGATATTAAAAGCTAACATGTTACGAATAAAACAGCAATAAATAAACACAAGAACACTGGTATATCAATACAAAGATTATTATGTGTTATAGACTATTATAAACCAGTTACGCAACGTTTCTAGGGAGCCTCGACCCTTTCACTGTCACTTCAGCAAATAACTGTTAAAGTATTATAATAATAATTATTATTATTATATGCCCAATTATGACCATCACATTTTATCACTGCAGGTTGAATTCGTGTAGTAACACGTGTGTTTTTTATTGTCATTGAACTGAACTCCAACGACATTCCTGCTTCACGCATGGACCGGAGCTAGCTAGCTAGCTAGCACGCAGTTACATACCGGGACAGGCTACCAGAAATACGGCTGATTTCCCGCGAACAAATTTCTGTCCTTCTGCCACCGACAGCCCCGCTGTACACCCGGCCAAGCAGCGGCACGCTTCTTCTGGTCCCTGGGATGTGAAGCAAATGCGAATGAGATAAAAGTAACCGGGCAGTTCTCAAGAGCGCAGCCATGCTTTCTGTGTCACAGCCTCGAGAAATTTCCGCAGCAAGTGACGTGCCTACTACAATGGGGCCTGAAGTATCGCGAGATTACCCAACCAGTCAAGTACTCGTTTTTGATCATTTCTGGATTGGGCGTCACGTGACCTGGTCGTGCTTCGCAAGGGGGATTTTTATGCTTTGAGCTAATGCTAATGCTAACCATTGAAATCAAAGAGCGGAACGTAGCGCGGTGCAAACAAACGCTTTATAAATCATAATGTACAAATGGTAAAAAAAAATACTTTGCTATAAACTGTAGAAATTGTTACAACATGTTTACAAGAGATAAAAGGGTTATGTTTCACAGGCAAATAGTACGAATATTTAACCAAAAAAATTAATTAAATCGTAAAACCTGTATGCAAACATTAAACAACTTCAATTTTCATGTTTAACCTTATTTAAAATCGATTTTATCTGTTGTCAATGTATTATTTACTGATATTAAACATGTAAATATGGACTTTATTGGTTTGTTGACTAGTTAAATTCTGAAATTATGATGTAGACTCGCTAATAAATGACAGACACTAATGTAATGATTACGCATCATAAACAAAATATTCACGTTGTCAGACAGGCTGGTTTATTCAGATATTTTCTACATCCAGTATTTGTGTTTTTCAACACTTCCAGAGAAAAAGGAGGAAAAAACAAGTGTGCCAGCTGAGTCGGCTTCAGATACAGCCTGCATCATTATGAAACTGAAGAATAATTCTTTGTGATAAAAATAAATTCATTGTGAAATGACATAATTTGTATTTTCTAGTTTGTTTTTACGGATGTTAAAATTATTGTAGTTTACAGCAAAAGCTTTTATAGTTGTGTGTGTGTGTATTTTAAAAGATTAATTTTATTATTTTAAATGTCTAAGACTCAGTTCTGATTGATAAATATATGTATGAATATCCAGCTGGTCAGTATGGAAGCCCATTCCCGCCATTATGAGATAGCTAAGTCATAATTATGAGATACAAGTTTTATTTTTTTTATCAGGGTGGCGGAAATGGGCTTCCATAGCTCAGAATTCATTGATTTGAATGGAAAAAAAAACCTGTGAAATGCAAAATACTTAGTTTAAGCCACTATTTTAGTCATTTAAATTATTTATCTATTTTAAATTTCCATAACTATAAAGTTCACAACTTCCTCAGCTTTATTTTGAACCGCAGTTTATAAAAATCGAGCAAGAAATAAGGAAGTTATGAGTTTTTCATCAGGATGACGCCTTACGGTCCATTGACATCCACTCAGCTCGCCCAATCCAGTAATATATATCAATGGTTTTTTACTAAAGTACCTTGCCATTCTTTTATAATTTACTTCCAGTAAGGGAGAGTATTAAACTATGTTTTCAAAGATAAAATAATAATTTAATAAATAAATAAATAATGGAGTCACCATCACTTTCACACCAGCTTCTATTATAATTTCATTATAAAAACAGCAACCTGGGAACTGACTGGGTGAGTGGTGAATCCTGGTCCGTGACAGAACAATAATTAACTCCTATAATTAAAATTGTCTGGTATTTAATTTTTTGAATTATTGAATTGAATTAGTTTAATTCTCATGAAAATAAGTTTGCTTCGACTCATGATGTGAAACATTTGCCCTGTTTGGAGATGTTGAACTTTTAGTGTTTAAATATACAACACATCATACAAAACATTTTATTATTGTGGAAAACTTTATTTAATTTGTAAAAGAAAAATTCCTTAACAATACTTAAGCAATAGGAGCAAAAAAAAAACAACTAAAGAATATGTCATAACAGAACAGCATTTAGGGTTTTATGTGTTTCATTACTTTAAAAACACAAATATGTTTAGGATTTTTATTAGCTCAGTTCTTCAATCAGCTTATGATTTCCTTTTCTTTTCTCCTTTGTCAAACTTTCTTTAACTACAGTCGTTACTTTCTTAACACTGTTCCTGGCACTTTCTTTTTTACTGTGTTCATTCCACAGTTCAATAGCAAGTCTGTGAATCCACTGTGAATTAACCAGCACCCAGGCTTGAAAGAATTCACACTTCTTGCTCGCCAGGAAGTACCTTTGCCTCCTTGCTCCTTCATCTCCCTCTTTGGGTAGGCTTGTTCTGGCCTTCGAAAGGACACTGCGCAGCTGACTCAAAGCTGCCAAGCAGTATGCTGTGGCATCCTGTCGTTCCCTGCCAGTCATGATGTGAGCCACAGCTTCCACTGCCCTGGCTGGAGCAAGAGGATCCTCTCTGTCAAGGTAACCTCCACGTCTAATGAGAGATTCTCCGTGGTCTAAGGCCTCTTGGACGGAGTTGAACACCTTGTTTGAGCTGAGCGCCTCAGACAGAGCCAGAGTCATGTCACAGAACTCAAACATCAGTGAATCAGTGTCACCATTAAACAGGCTCAAGGAAAATGCGTAGCTGTAAAGCGCATTGACTAAGCCGTAACGAACCAGAGGAGACGGATTTGAACATAATGAACTTAAAGTTGGAATTTTTGCAGAAATTGGAGGTACTTTCTGCAAAGATGAGCTTTCTTTCTTCATTTTCTCTCTTCTTCTTCCTTTGACCTGGTTTAATTTCACACCCGACTTGCCCTGATTTTGACCTTTTTCTTGCGATACCTTGACTTGATCATCATTCCCATTCAGAACTGGTATATCTTCACTCTCTAGTTTGCTCACTTCCTCAAGCACTTCCACAAGTTTTCTCCCATCCTCCTCGTGCTCTTCCCACCAGGGCTTCCACAGGGGAACAAGTTCTGCAACAGCTCCACCTTTCATAAGATTGATAAACTCCTCTTGCTCTTTACTGCTCAGAAGTCCCCACAGTTCCTCCTCTGAAAGTTTATCAGTATCCAGACCTGACAATCGCTCCGCCAAATTCAGCTCCCCTTCAGCACCATCATCATCCTCATCAGAGACTTCAGGCAGCGTCTCCCCTCTTCCGATCTCCTGAAGTTTTCTCAAAATAGCCTCAATCTCTGTTGTGTTCTCCTCTCCAGACTGCTGAAGTTCTGCTAATCTGGACAGGAGCTCCAAAGCCTGAACCTTCTCTGTTGTCTCTACTCCCCCCTCATCTGTGTCATCTCCCACAACGCCCACTTCCCTCAACAAACGCTCCATCCCCACATGTGTCATCTCTGCTTTCTGGCGGAGTCCCAGCAGAATTTCTTGCATTTTCTTTTTGCCCTCTGCCTCCGTTTTCCCAATGTCTTTCAGCTCCCGCAGAACAGACTCCTTGTAAAACTCCTCTGAGCACACGGAGTGGTCTGGACTCCGGTAGCAAGCCAAGCCACAGTAGTGGAGGTTGCACCGGGGACAGGTGTAGTTAGAGGGTTTGCATTCACACAGCATGCACACTGTTGTAGTCTTCCTCTTGTCGCTCCCATCCTCTGCAGCTTTCTCCTCTTCAGTCTTTGCAGGAGAAAGAAAGTCCTCTTGTTCAGACCCAGCTCCTCTGGACGGCAACAGAATCCCATCAGTAGTGGTTTCCTCCTCTGTCTCTGTCCACTGCAACTCTTTTGAACTAATAATATCTGTCAAAAGACTCCTCACGGATGGGGGAAGGCTCCGTCTAATTAATGGATTCATCATTAGCGGGAGAATAGAGCACGAAGTACGAAGCGTGGAGTCCAAGATTTTAACCTAAAAAGCACACAGTTTGATTTTTTTTAAAATGGGTTAACAAGATGAAGTTGCGTTGACTAGTAGATAATTTTAGAGGCTGCTAAGTCAAGTGTCGTGTTTAGCTACTTTCCGACTCGTTGGATCCGAAATTGGCTACAAACTACAGCTACTGTCTCTCAAACGCTTAATGTTCGTAAAATGAAGTCAGTTTACTGAAATGTTACAAATAAATACCCACCTTGTTGCATTCGCGTAAACACCAGCGTTTGTTCCAAGTCGCGTCGCACACAGATGACGTAAGCGCGAGTTTTTATTTTTCCGGTGTTGTGTCAAAATCAGTATCCCTGTTGTGCCCACAGTCTCGGGAGCGCGCACAGAGCAGGTTAAACGGGACCATGCATTCACCAATCCTAGTTTTAATATCTATTATTTTTTTATAAGTTACGTCTGCTGGACACGAAAAATACACCGTCCGGGTGACATTACTGTCTACTCTGTTATTATAAACCACGTTTTTTTAAATGCATGACATAAGATCCCCAAAATCATGAATGAACAAACTTTTACACTACCACCACAGATACACAATCTGTTTAAACTGAATCCTTTTCATTATTCACAGTGTCCACTGCTAGAATCTGAAGGATTAAAAATATTTTTACCATCAAGAGATTTAAGGAACACACAGTATCTCCCATCATGATTTCCTTTAAATTTAAAGAGACACTAGCAGAAGATTCACCAAAACTGGCAGAATCTATGTCCCCCCACACCGAAATGAACAGAGAAATAACACAAATGTATTTCAGGTTAGAAAAACCTTTCAATATGTCTGATTATTCCTGTGATTTTCAAAGGGTTTGCTCTTTTTATTTACAAGTTAAATAAAGACACAGATAATGGCAGAGTAGGTGACTTGCTGCATCCTGCTGCTCCAAATTATTGCCCAACAGCAATGTTATAATCTTATTAACAGCACCTAATGTTCATCAAACTTTCTGCAAATCTGTGCGAGCACCAAGCCTGCTTGTCTTTTTGCGTGTCCTTTTGAGTGTGCAGTGTGTTAGCATCTCCTGTAGAGCTGTTTGCTATGAGGTGATTGTCTCCTGTAGGGGGTAAAGCATGGTAAAGGTCATGCAGGTGGGGTGTTGTCAGACGGCCGTCCACCCCTCACTGGGCCGAGGGGCTCTCGTGCGGCCTGTCAGAGCTGGTGGGGCAAGAGGGCGGAGAAAGGGTGTCTGAGGACGACGTGTGCCATGCTGCCTTGGCCCTGTCCCTGGCAGACAGAACCCAGGGTAGCTGCCTTCTCTCATCTCCCTTCTCCTTTCCTAGCATGTTCTGTGACATGTTACCACCACTACATGAGATCCACAAGCATTTCTCAATGTCTGCCAAGCAAAAAAATATCGTGTTTTTCAGATATTAAAAGCATAATAGCATTAGCACCAACATATGAAGGAATACATATTCCTGCTGCCCTTCATGCAAGATTTTTAATATAATTTGGAACAACCCTTTTGTACCAAATCTCATGCAATATTCTGAGGTGCTGTGACTGACTCTCAGCTATTACCACATTAAATTTAAGGCCAATATCTGTAAAACTGACTTGACTAGCTTGCAAATTCTCCCACAAAAGGCCTAAAATTTAAAGCCGTATTTACAAGCACATGTGTCAGTACACACACGCAAACACACTCATGTCCCGCTGTCTGCCACCAGCTGATAGGTGACAGGAAACAGGCTCTGCCTTTTGGGCATGTCCAACCCCGGTATGTCTGCAGCTGGAACTGTCTGCTGCACAACAGCAGGGTGTGTGTGTGTGTGTGTGTGTGTGTGTGTGTGTGTGTGTG